ATAGATCGAAGACGATTCTAAAGCTAAAATCAATATTATGAACCCAGATTTAAAAAAATCGATGGCAGTCATGCTTCCTGTGTATATTTTTAGCTTCGACTCTGATTTTAGTTGTCTGAAGTTACGGTCTGAAATATAGTTATTGTTCAATGAATCCTTTTGATTCGTATTGATTATTTTTTGTTTCATTTTGGCTGCTTGGATCTCCGGCCTTCTTAAAGTGTGCCATAATATTTTTATAGTTTTAATTTTCTCACTGATTTAAAATTCAAAGCTTATCCAGGTACGGACATCTCTACGGTAATTGTCTACACATTTTAAAATATATTTATTATTTTACAGTGGAGTTGGGGAAATGTTTTTGAAGAAATAGACTTTAAAGCGTGCAATATACATTCGAGGAAGACCGGAGAGTCAATCAGCAGAAACATAGAAGAAGACATGTCAAAGATGGAGATACTATTTTTTTTCTACGTGAAGGATTTTATTTTCGGTTTGAACAACAAATTCGTTGGATAAATAGATTTGGACTGAAACTCCCCTGGTTCGTAATACGAAATGTTAATTCGGAAAATTATTGATAATGATATTTATGACGCTAACCTTCGTCCAGAAAAGTAGTCCACGTTGCGTCAATCTTCCAGCCAAGGTAAGTCGGCATACCTGGAAAATCAGCATTTGAAAATATGACTTAAAGGTTCTTAATTTTTTATTTTTGACCCCCGACTGAGTTAGCTTGTGACACAGGGTCAGTTTTTAACGTAGGGACCCGAATGTCTTCACTCGGGCCGCTGGTCTTAGCAGGTCATAGCTTGTCTAAGCTGGTCTAAGCTAGTCATGGCTGGTCTTAGCTGGTCATAGCTGGTCCAAGTTGGTCAGAACCGGTCCAAAACCAAAACACTCTGAAATGTTCGTATTGGAGCTTCCGGCGCGAATGCCAAGCAGTACAACATGCCGTTTCTAAATTTCTAGCGGAGTACATTGCATCAATGTGCTCTTTTTCTTATAGACGGTGCCGAATTGACCCTACTATACTGTGCAGTCAACAAAATCAGAAACTATCAAAGCGCATGTGCGATATTAAAAATATAAAATGACGACAATTTACTCATCGCATCCTGTATATATTCAGAGATTCTTGATAAGACACAAAGAAGAACCTGTAATGTTATTCTCCATGAGCTGGCATCTCGGCTTCAGCCCCCCTCCCCACCTCAGTAACGTAGTTTCTCTGTACCTTTTTTATAAATACTTTCATGGTAATTGTTCTGATGAACCTTCCTCTATGGTACCTCGGCTTTATGAATTTAAGTGCAGTACTAGATTGGTAAGACACTTTGAAATGGATGGATGTAACCGTAAGTTCTATGTTAACAGTTTCTTCTCTCGCGTTTTCTCGCTTGTGGAACTCACTCTCTTTCGGTTTCTTTCTTTCTAGTTAACGTTGATCTTAAAAAAAATTAAATGCACTGTTGTTATGTTCTGTCTTCTTAATTCCTCCTCTTTTGTTGTTCTCTCTCGTTAATAGTGTTTTTTTTAATATTCTCTGACACTCAGTAATCGCTTGTGTCTTAGTGGCTTTATCGCCTTGCTTGGGGTGAAATGATTAAAGAAAGCGGTGGTTATTACGCGCTATCCTGTCTCTTTTGTTTACCTGAGTGTTTAGTGGTTTAATCCCCTAGCTACGCTTCTTTCTTATCGTTCGGCATTTTTAAAAAAATAGACTTGGAAGTTCAATGAAAAAAATTGACCAGAGAGAAATCTTGTCTTTGTGACTCAAACAGTTACCGCATTCGCATATCGACCTATAGATTCGCGATTCAATTCCATTTTGTTACTGGTAATACTTATCGTTTGGTAGATTTTGTAATATAATGTAAGTGCAAAAATGACAAGATTTTGGGGTGAAGATTGACGCTAGTTGTTCGGTCCTAATCAGAAACGATTATTTCTCGTCTGTTCACAATCTTTTAATTCAGTTAGATGTGTGGCAAGCCGTTTAGTGGTTCAATCACGATTAGGTGCGTTTATTTTTCATCTTTCGCAGAGAACTGAACTGTAAAAATTAAAAAGCTGATAATATCTGAAACCTTGTCTATTTAGCGAAGAAAACTGCGAATTACCTCGTCAAACGAAGCGACAGCGTGTCGCGTGTATTCCACAACGGGAAAATGTGACGAAAAAGAAAGTTACCCACCGAGAAAAAGGGACGCGTATTCTGTAGGATATACCGAAGACGGAATACCCAAAGTTAAAAGGGTATTTATTTTGCATTATACAAAATTGTGGCACAAGGCCGGGGAAGAAGGGGATGGTCTTTATTAGCTATCCTACCCAATGTTTAAAGTAGAAACAAGTCAGTCGTAGGAGTCGCCATAAAAGTATCTCTAATATTCTAATATTGTGTGTCTTCTCCCAGCTGGCAAATTGTAACGAATGACTGGGTCGTGAATCTGATTAGCTAGGTATAAGGTAGTAAGTGATGTCCAGCTTCAGTTCACCCCTCTCCCCATTTTTCAGCCTTGCGCCAAAATTGTATTTTTATACGCAATAAATCTTGTGTCTTCTTCCAGCTGTCGACGAATGAAAAAAATGGTCCACCGATAAAAGCAGTTGGCGTTCTTGAATTGGGAAGAAAAATTCGTTTATTTTGCTACCGCGTTTGTCGACGAGTGTGTTATTTCTCTGACTGTTTACGTGGGATTTGTGACAGGACCTGCGAATCGAGATTTCGACATTTCTTTCTATTCCTGATATTCGAGTTTGGACTTGCGATTTGTTTTCTTCGTTGTGGAAGTAATCTGCGACATCAATTTCTGAACGGGAAGTTTAGTTCTAGCACGATACGAAAGTGACTACATTAGCGCAATCGGGTTTGCGTATTCGGCCATTCAACGGATTGTCAATCGTGCCATTCAAACTCCGCGACCTTTATTTCTTATCTTTTGTCAGATTTTGTAATACAAGAAAAGTGTAAAATTAAAACCGGTTTGGTTTGTTTTATTTTACGGTATATCAACCTCAATGGGTCATTTAATGCCGACAACTTTTTTTTCCTTGTAATATTTTTGTTTTGTCAAAAATCTATTTCTGTTAATATTTTTTCCTCAAAAATGTATAATTAGTAATATTATTTTTCCAAAACATGTAGCTGATAATATTTTTTCAAAAACGTATATCTAGTAATATTATTTTTTCAAAAACATATAGCTGGTAATATTATTTTTTCAAAAACGTATAGTTGGTAATATTATTTTTCCAAAACGTATAGGTGATAATATTATTTTCAAAAACGTATAGCTAGTAATATTATATTTTCAAAAACGTATAGCTAGTAATATTATTTTTTTCAAAAACGTATAGATGGTAATATTATTTTTTTCAAAAACGTATAGCTGGTAATATTATTTTTTCAAAAACGTATAGCTGATAATATTTTTTCAAAAACGTATTATCAGAGGCCTTGCTGTTGGATGTAGTTTATCGTCTTACCCAGGACGCGGATGTAGTTTTTCGTCTTACCGAGGACGCAAAATTAAAACGGGGTGATTTAGCCAAAATCTATTCTCTGCCCTGTTTGGCTGTGAATCGAATTATTTGTGGTTAATCCTCTCTTGGGACGCTTCTTTATTAACTCTTGGCTGATTTTGTTAAATAATTAAACTGCAAATATTTTTAGAAATGGTGATTCAGATCTGAAATATTGTCGCTGTGACGAGGAGTTTGTCGTTCAATCTCTATCAGGTTCATTTCTTTCTTACCTTTTGGCAGTTTTTTGTTAAATGAAGATCGGTTATTTTAGGGGAAATCTTGTCTTAGTCCCGCAACCGGTTATGCCGCTTGGATATTAATCAAAACGTTACGGTTTCGATCTCTCTGCTCTTTGTTCCTCTTTGGTGCACATTGCTATATTTACGCTGTAACAGCAGCAAGAAAACTGTCACAATCAAGCTCAAACTTTGATCACATGGCCATAATAGTATCAACTAAAAGCTCAATTGAGCAGAAGGCAGTGTGATAAAAGATATCCTATGGCGAAATTGCTGATAATTTTTTACTTAACCTTGTATATTCAATTCAAATACAAAAAGGAGTCCTAAAATGTCTTCACAAAATCACCTTAACCATGGGGTTAGCCGTCAGACAGAAAAAGAAATTAGCTCTCGCGACACATGTCTGTTTTAATTTCATCCAAAAACTGCATCTCTGTTTGCCTAGAGATTTTAATTTAATGAGAGGCCTAAAATATTTCGTCAAAAAAATAAAAGAAAAGAAAAAGATAAAATTTAAAATAAATCTATTACCGAATAAATGTCCGAAAAGTTTAAGAAAATAAAATTATTTTATTTGTAGGGAGAGGAATATATTATTTTGAACTCAAATTGTATCTGTATAATGCGCTTGTGCATATATTCAATTCCACAAGCATACGCAAGACACTTTCGCACAACACAGACGTAGGCATATATATATATATATATATATATATATATATATATATATATATATATATATATATATATATATATATTACATACGCACATGTAAAGTCCCACGCAATGTATGACGGACAGTAAATCATATCTTCTTTTATAATATAGATTATCAATTCAATGGCATTAATTTGATCCGAATCAAAATAAATTCTCACCTTTTATTGGGGACGAACCACAAGCAACTTCATATTGTTTTGTTCTTTATAACTTGACAGGTCATTTAAGGAAACTCACCTCCAAATTTTTCGGTCTTTTTTTTTCCGAAACTCTCCGACATTTTGGCGCCACTGTAGCTAAAATTGGATAAGATCGTTTCTCTGAAGAATGGTTAATCGTATCAGTCACCTTTCAGCGTAGCAACAGGTGACTTGATGAATTTTCGGAAAAATCCAATGGTCAAGTATTTGAAAACCTTGATCAGTTCCTTTCATTTCAAATGTTCCCTTATTGTTAAAGCTATACAACGTACTTTTTTTTATTTCGGACTCGTGTTCTCACTTTGACTTACGGCCATATCGCATTGAAACACCAGTAACCATACGATCACCGAAGTTAAGAAACGTCGAGCATAGTTAGTACCTAGACGGGTGACCGCTTGGGAATATCAGGTGTAAGCTTGGATGTGCAGGTGGTATAATGGATAATGGCTCGGAATTGTTAATCGATGAACCAAGTTCTAGTTCCAGTTGGGTTCGTTATATTCACTTGCATACAAATATCCTTGGGGAAGGTATGAATCCACCTCTTCTCCCCCCCATTTATGGATTAATTAGTAAGACTTGTATCAATAAACAATTATTATCTCCCTAAAAATTCTTACAATGTAAAAATATTTTCTGGCTTTAAATAACCTGCAAAGGGTTGATAAACCGGAGAAAATGAATCAGTTAATCAACAATTCTCATCTTGGTTGTTATACATAACGTTTCGACGTCATCAAGTGTTCATTGTTTGGCTGATATGGGATATGTCTGTTGATTATTGTGTCATTTTCTCCCAGCAATATCAGTTATTGTTCTTTCCTGCTGAATCAGCGCTCCTACAAGACATGTCTAACCAGAGTCTATATCCACTGCACCATCCTCCAGAAAGATACCATTTTAATCTTTATATGTCAGCTAAACAACGGACTATAGAGTACCTGATAGTAGCCAAAGGGTACTTGACTGAAATGTTGTGTTTATAATGTAATAACATCCATAATAATCAAGGTGTAAACAATAATTGTAAATAAATTATATTGTCAATTATTCATCTAAAAAAATTAAATACAAAAGATATCCAATATTTTCACCCGCGCGCGAACGATAAACACTAGGTAATCCTCCCCACGACCCCCCGCCAGCAAAACAACCCAAACTTCACTAAAAATAGGCTAAGTAAATTAATTAAATCTAACTTTATTTCCCTGTAATTTCAATTTTCAACGACCTCAGAGCACTGCGGTTAGATTTTCGATAAATATATCGGGATTTTTAACCTACTTAAATCGATGTTCAATCTGAACGATCAAAACTTGCTCGAGTAGTTTTTAACTAAGTTTAGTAACGCGCTTTTTTATTTTTTAAGTTTAGTTTTTAAGTTTAGTTTTTAAGTTTAGTTTTTGCTTGATTTTGTAACGGGAAAGGATTACAAATTGTAAAGGGCCGTGTTTGGGAACTTCTAAAAGAAAGCAATTCAGCACAAATCTGGATAATTCATAGAGATGATAAGATAAAAAAACAAACAACAAAAAACAAAACAAAAACAAATAGAAAACGTTTATCAATCTAACATGTTTCAATTTTATTAAAGCTTCGTCTGAGATGAGATTGAGAAAACACAGAAAAAAAAAACCTTTGCTATTTTCAATTTTGTTTGGATCAATTCTCATTGGTCAGTCATGTATCATAACAGAATATCACACCAGTACGCCGAGTGACTACACAAAAGTGAAAGCATTAGAATTCCTCCAAGAGAAACACACATACACAATTAATAATATACATTATCAATCGATTCCTGATTAAACATAGAATTTTTACAAATTTACATAGATATAGAATTATCTACGGTAATGAGCTATGTCTTTCTGTCTGTTTTCACTAAATCTCTGACGAAGCTTTAATAAAATTGAAACATTAGATTGGTAAACATTTCCTATTTGTTCTTTATCGTATCATCCTGTCGGATTCCGATCAATATCTGTTCTACATTTGATCTTTAACTTATATGAAGAAATATAGTTTTAAGATGGCCTATATTTATGGGATAAATTTCTCAATATCAGAGATAGAGCGTGTGTAAATATAAAAGTGAACATAGAAGTCAATACTTAGAGCCTCTAAGTGTTGACTTCTATGTTCACTTTTATATATATATATATATATATATATATATATATATATATATATATATATATAGATAGATAGATAGATAGATAATTATAATATAGGTCTGCTCTACTTACTGTATTGAGCACTTTATTTAGTTATTTTGCCTACTCACATCGGGGCTTTTTTCTCTGGGCTTTGTATTTGCATGCTAGACGATTATTTTCGGGTAACGTACATGTTCTTGGTTCTTTCTTTTTTTATATACCTTTTTTTCCCCTTTGGTATTGGCTTGTTTATTTGCGAAGCAAAACACTGAAGGTTTTCCGAACGAGTATAATTTCTTATAAGATTACTACTACTACTACTACTACTACTACTACTAATATATATATATATATATATATATATATATAGAGAGAGAGAGAGAGATAGATAGATAGATAGATAGATAGATAGATTGATAGATAGATAGATAGAACAATATAGTTAAGAAAAAACAATGTAAATATTTATATAGTTAGATGTAGCGTGTGTGTGTATGAAAGGGAGAGAGAGAAATAATAATAAAACTTGACAGCCTTTCATGGTTGAACCCAACCTTCTGGCCTTAGGATTGAGTTCTAGCATGAAACACGTTGTCGCCGCTCGGTGTTGATACCAGCGTCCATTTATATTAATCAAATAAACGACAAGATCAAACTTTTCATGTCAACACTTTTCGTTTGTTGAAGAATTTCATCAGATGTGCATGTGCAAAAATTCTTCAAGCAACGAAACACGTCGACATAAAAAGTTTCCCTCCTGTTATTTCATTTCATCAATATTGTATTTGCAGATACCGTCCTGGGTAAGACGATAAACTACATCCGTGTCCTGGGTAAGACGATAAACTACATCCGTGTCCTGGGTAAGACGATAAACTACATCCGTGTCCTGGGTAAGACGACAAACTACATCCGTGTCCTGGGTAAGACGATAAACTACATCCGTATCCTGGGTATGACGATAAACTACATCCGTGTCCTGGGTAAGACGATAAACTACATCCAACAGCAAGGTCTCTGATCAGGAGGTACTGAAGAGCGTGGAACCACCTCTTAATTGCTGGTGTTCTCAAATCCACCCTGACCCAGAGTAGTAGCACCTGTTAGGCTCCTAACTATGGGCAAATAGTTAACCACAAAACTGAGGTCAAAATACTATGTAAGTGTAAAAATAAGTTTTAATACTAGAAATATTTGTAAAAAATATTATTACCAGTAATAAATTGCCGCGTCCTGGATAAGAAGATAAACTACATCCGCATCCTGGGTAAGACGATAAACTATATTCAACTGCAATGCCTCTGATCAGGTGTTGACGAGCGTGGAAGCACCTCTTAATTCCTGGTGTTTCCAGATGTACCCTGACCCGGGTGATAGCACTTGTTAGCGTCCCAGCTATGGGCAAATAGTTAACTTCCAAACTGTTGTCAAAATGTGTAAAATATGTTTTAATAGCAGCAAAATATTTTTGTAAAAATTTTTACCTGCAATAAATTTTTGAAGAAAAAATTATTACCAGCAGTACATTTTTTGAAAAAATATTACCGGCAATACACTTTTGAAAAAAAAATATTACCAAAAATGCTTTTTTAAAAAAATATTACCAACAATAAAAATTTTGTCGGCATTATTATTACCCATTGAGGTTGATACATAGTAAAACAAACCAAACCAAACTATTTGCATATATATATATATATATATATATATATATATATATATATATATATATATATATATATATATTTTATATCTGAATTTTTGCATATCAGTATATATAGATGTGCATATATATGTAGGACCCTGTTAAAGAATCGTAGAAAAATGCAATAATTTTTAGTATTGTCACTAGAAACGCATATTGTTTTTTTACAAAACCAGCCCACACAGAACTGCCTCATTTTTGAGCATTTTGTCGGCTCCAAATTTGAATTTCTATATTCATATATATTAACGAATCAACGCCGTTATTTATAAAAAACAAAACAAAACAGAGCCCTTTGAAATTCCAGACGACTATGTTTGTCTGCTATGAAATTTTGAAGGATCACTTCAGAAAATGTTCAACAATATTTCCCCCCCCCTTAAAATAGATATTTAAAAATTGGGAAAACATTTATTAACCAATAAACTTATGAGATTAATAAAATCTATTTTTCCTAGAGCCAATGTTTCAGTTAAAAAAGCGATCGTAATTGTTCGCAGAATGAGTTTTGTTAATTAACCTTTGACAAAACTTGATCGTTCGTTGTTGTACGAGCTGAAATTCTCAAACTTTAATTAATTATTCACATTTTCGCATATTTATTCGAGCATATTATGTTACAAAAAAAGCTTAGTGATTTTGACACTAAGAAATCATACAAACCGTGTTATTTGTCAACACAGACTTTTAGCAGTAATATCAATAACGCAATTTTGCTTGACGTCTTAGTTAATTCCTATCAGCTACTGACTACTATAAAATTACACGCATGCATAAAACAACGTTAAAAAGTCCCACACACACATTCTCATATGTAGATGCATTATGTTTCTTATATATTAACGCATTTGATTCAGTTGTATTGTAAAGACAACAAAAATGTATTGCATGAAGAAGTTTCACAAAGAATCTTTGTAATTAATTTCTTTCAATTTAAAAGAAAATGAATAATAATGATAAAAATTATTTAAATTTGTAGAACTGTGTTGAAGATTGCTTATTTCTTCGTTTTAAACTACACGTATATTCCTCTACACACACACACACACACACACACACACACACACACACACACACACACACATATATATTGTTTAATTTATAGAGGGAGGTTAAAATTTGTTATATTTATAGGGTAAGAGTAGGATACACAATTCCAGCGATAAATAGTTTATAGATATAGACAGTGTGGGCATAGGGATCAAAACTGCATGTTGGCTGAGTTTCACGCGTTAGTGCAACCTGCAAACCAACATCTCATGGAAGTGAGAAACACTATAAAGTGTTGGTTTCTATGTCCACACCGTGTTTCTCTTTCTCTCTCTCTCTGTCAACTGTATATATATATATATATATATATATATATATATATATATATATATTATATATATTTATATTTAGGCAGCAATCTTTCTTTCATGCACATACGACAGACAAGGTGCTTTTATTTAGTTTTTTATTATTAGATCGCATTAGAAATTCTATAAAAAACTCCATAAAAGCACCTTGTCTGTCGTATTCAATGAAATGTGCATATATATATATATA